CTGTGGGGGTGACTGTTAACGGAGGCTTGGCCTTGAGTTGTATTAGATATCCGTGCTGTAGGATGTTGGATACATATGGATCTTGTAGTATTCCCCAGTTTTCCCAGTGCAGCTGAAGGCGTCCACCCACTTGAGAAGGTTGTACTGGAACGGCTGGGGGTGGAAGACTCCAGTCGTTCCGAACCTGAATTTCATCGTCTAAATCCACGGGCATCTCTGGATGATCTGCCTCTAGCTGATCCTCCCCTAAATTTGCTGTATGGGCGACGAAAAGAATCCTTGGGATCTTTAGCTGCAGCTAATTTCTTGTCCCGTGCTTTCTGTAGCCCCGAAAACTTGCCCGAGTATCTCTGTGCTGACTGTTTAATGACGTTCGCTAAGGTATCCATGGATCTGATCATAAGTACCTCTCTCGAGTCTTTAGATACTTCTTTGGAGACCTTGTCTATGTTGCCACCAAACAGTAAGGGCGATGACCATGGAGCTGTGTATAGAGATTCTGTGAATTGCTTATCCCAAGAGCAGGAGGCTAGTAAGCCTTGCCGACGAGCCATGGTAGTAGTTTCAGTAAGTGCTGACAGGTGCTCTGTAAGAAATTGGTGGTCTCTTTTCTGCATGAGTAGAGCTGAGTAGATCATTCTATCTTCCTCCTCTGTAGAATTCTTGAACTTGGTGATGAGAGTTTCATTAATAGTTCTAGATCTATTCAATCCAAAGAACATTCTCCTGGAGATGGTATCTAATTGGGCCAATTTGCGATCGTCTACTCTGTAACTTCTGGGCTTGGCATCACTGATTAATTTAAAGTTGTCATCAATATCCTGGGCCTTGAAAAAGGGGTCCATATTGTGTCCAGCAAATTTCTTGGCATTGAAGACCGGGAAATGTGTAGATTGGACTTTCGAAGATTTGGAACAGGCTGTATCCAGATTAGCTGGTACCGCTGCAATCGGGTCAATAGGAGGTAAGGTGATATTGTCTACATCATCATCCTTCATCAGGTAAGTCTGAGTTGAATTCTCGTTCTTCAATGGGGAAGCAAGTTGTAATTCATTCACCATCCAGTATCTAATCTCAGCATCTGAGAAAATGATACCTTCTTCCTCTTCTGACGTAAGGTCACATGTCGGAGTCCTAGATTTGTAGGAAGATCTATGAGAGGACTGTGGTGAACGGACTGACGAGTGGCTAGTGTAAGGAGACCTTGGAGGAGACATCCTCGGGGAACGCTGGGGACTTCGCGAAGCTCTTCTAGATCTTCTGGGCGAGGTAGATTTGGAGCCACTTAGCCTTCGCGACCTTCGCGAATGTATCGAGTCAGTGTCCAAATCGACATATGAGCGCTTGCTTCGCGAACGACCTCTGTGTTCTACAGGGTGTGGGCTCGGCGAAGCGCTCCTTCTCCGCGATGTCCCTCGCAACTGGAGAGGCTCTAGCTCCTTCGCGGAGGCGGCCTTGGACTTCCTTTGCGAAGTGATCGCTACGGGCTGGGTTGCCCTTCGCGGAGGCGCATTTGTGGGCTCTGGGGCCCTACGCGAAGCCAAGGCGGGCTCTGGAGCCCTGTATGACTTATTATGGGTTGGGCTCTGGGGCCCGTGGCTCTGGGGCCTCTGTAAACCGTAACGGTCCTCCATCAGTCTCATGATTTGGTTGACCAGGTCGTCTGGGACGGTCTGCGCTGGCGTTGAGGGTGGCCTCTCTGTGAAAGTGACGGGACCCTCATTCATAAACTCCGGCGTCAGCGTAGGCATCTCTGGTTGCGTGTTGATCTGCTCTGTAGTGACGGTAGCAGATACTGGACGTTTCTTATGACGTACATCTGGAATGATAATCGGAATGTCATCATCATATAAACATAATTCTGAGACAGGTAGAATATCGGAGGCAAAATTATTTGTAGCTTTCGTAGATTTCCCTTTTGACGAAGCTTTGGACCTGGGGGTTCGAAGCGTACGTTGAGATGATGTGGACGTTTTCCTAGTCTTAGACTGTGAAGACGGAATGTCTTGAGATGCAGGTCGCTTCTTGGACATAGCGGACTGCGTCCCACGCTTATCCCCCGAGGGAAACTCAGGCAGGCCACCAGCCGGTGGCGGGTCGTCAGTCAACAGTTGACAGGGTATATTAGCTTCCGATCTATTAGCCATGACTGAAGATTGTTTGCGAGATTTATCTGCCTTCCGTCTCAAAACGGAACATAAATATTTATCAAAGGCAGAAATTGGTAAATTAATACATAATTTACAACGAGAAACAATAGAACATGGAGTAATGCAACTAGGGCATTTTAAATATGGATCGGTAGCGGAATAACGTAGTTTACAACCTGTGCAGATTCTCATTAACGTAAACTGCTGAACAAACACGGCGAACCGTGAATAAAACAGCAGAAACACGACTAATAATCAATGCAAGTTGAATAAGGATACTAGTTACACCTCTATAACTGAATATAAGAGGTACTAAACTAAATCTAAATAAAGGATATAGTGTGTCAGGAGACACAGGCGCTCTCACGTCCAGCTCACTGGGCGAAGAAGGAGAGAGTGAGGCACATGGGTTGAGGTGGCGCCCTCGTTCCCGCGCTTGTGGAAGGGAGGTAACTCGTGGTGAGTACTAATTAGTGTTTTTTTTATTGAAGGGAACTTCAATTGGGAGATACACGTGTTCCACTATGAAGAAGAAGACAAGCAATAAGCATGAGTCAGGATAAGGAAAAATAAGGCATATTTTGTTCAACAGTCACAACTGAGCCAGGTCTCAGGTGGGAGCAGTCAAGATCTGTTGTGTGTCACCCAAATTAATTCTGATCAAGCAACAGATCAAGGCAATGACTAGCTAGAACAGTCTCAGACTACCAGAAGCATCCATCCATCGTACGGAGACATTAAAGTGAAAAGCCAGCTGTGGTGACGTCTAAGGTGCACAGAATAATATTTTCTGAGTGATATACTTTTGAGACAGATATTACATATGACAGTTTATGTGTAGCAGACAGCACAGGAGTTGTCATGGCTGGCACAGTATATCTCAAACAAAGACCACCTGTCATCATGAAGTTGATGTCTGAGGTGGGATGACTCATGAAGTTGATGTCTGAGGTGGGATGACTCATGAGTGTGATGGTTGTGTAATGGAGGTGGGCTTTGTCTCATCGGAGTCAATAAGAGGGGATTTCTGACTACGTGGAGGAGAGAAAATGTGCTGGCCAGTAGGGCATTACCAAAACCAGTCACAGCATTCCAGGCATCTGACCGAAACAACATCCAGTAAGTTATTGACAGAATGGCAGCCTTGATAATCGTAACGTCAAGTTGTCTTTGCAGTTTAACTCATTAGAAATAGCTCCCTTGTGGACCTTGCAGAAGATGCAAGTGTCTGTCATGTATGGTGGATGCTCACAGACAGCACAAGAAGGTGTGAGTGTCTGTCATGTATGGTGGATGCTCAGACAACACAGGAAGGTGTGAGTGTCTGTCATGTATGGTGGATGCTCACAAACAACACAGGAAGGTGTGAGTGTCTGTCATGTATGGTGGATGCTCACAGACAGTACAGGAAGGTGTGAGTGTCTGTCATGTATGGTGGATGCTCAGACAACACAGGAAGGTGTGAGTGTCTGTCATGTATGGTGGATGCTCACAAACAACACAGGAAGGTGTGAGTGTCTGTCATGTATGGTGGATGCTCACAGACAGCACAGGAAGGTGTGAGTGTCTGTCATGTATGGTGGATGCTCACAAACAGCACAGGAAGGTGTGAGTGTCTGTCATGTATGGTGGATGCTCACAGACAGTACAAGAAGATGCAAGTGTCTGTCATGTATGGTGGATGCTCACAGACAGCACAGGAAGATGTGAGTGTCTGTCATGTATGGTGGATGCTCACAGACACCACAGGAAGGTGTGAGTGTCTGTCATGTATGGTGGATGCTCACAGACAGCACAGGAAGGTGTGAGTGTCTGTCATGTATGGTGGATGCTCACAGACAGCACAGGAAGGTGTGAGTGTCTGTCATGTATGGTGGATGCTCACAAACAGCACAGGAAGGTGTGAGTGTCTGTCATGTATGGTGGATGCTCACAGACAGTACAAGAAGATGCAAGTGTCTGTCATGTATGGTGGATGCTCACAGACAGCACAGGAAGATGTGAGTGTCTGTCATGTATGGTGGATGCTCACAGACACCACAGGAAGGTGTGAGTGTCTGTCATGTATGGTGGATGCTCACAGACAGCACAGGAAGGTGTGAGTGTCTGTCATGTATGGTGGATGCTCACAGACAGTACAGGAAGGTGTGAGTGTCTGTCATGTATGGTGGATGCTCACAAACAGCACAGGAAGGTGTGAGTGTCTGTCATGTATGGTGGATGCTCACAAACAGCACAGGAAGGTGTGAGTGTCTGTCATGTATGGTGGATGCTCACAGACACCACAGGAAGGTGTGAGTGTCTGTCATGTATGGTGGATGCTCACAGACACCACAGGAAGATGTGAGTGTCTGTCATGTATGGTGGATGCTCACAGACAGTACAGGAAGATGCAAGTGTCTGTCATGTATGGTGGATGCTCACAGACAGCACAGGAAGGTGTGAGTGTCTGTCATGTATGGTGGATGCTCACAGACACCACAGGAAGGTGTGAGTGTCTGTCATGTATGGTGGATGCTCACAGACAGCACAGGAAGGTGTGAGTGTCTGTCATGTATGGTGGATGCTCACAGACACCACAGGAAGGTGTGAGTGTCTGTCATGTATGGTGGATGCTCACAGACAGCACAGGAAGGTGTGAGTGTCTGTCATGTATGGTGGATGCTCACAAACAACACAGGAAGAAGCGAGTGTCTGTCATGTATGGTGGATGCTCACAGACAGCACAGGAAGGTGTGAGTGTCTGTCATGTATGGTGGATGCTCTCAGACAGCACAGGAAGGTGTGAGTGTCTGTCATGTATGGTGGATGCTCACAGACAGCACAGGAAGATGCAAGTGTCTTACTTACGGATAGCACAGGAAGAGGCAGTACAGTGGGGAGTGCTGAATGACGACATGGTAGCCTGTGTAGATCAGTAAAGTTGCCACAGTCCCTACTACCACAACCTTCACTAGCTGTACCAGCCAAAACAGAACGCCCTTGTATGTCCGACTCCCATACACCTGTAACATCAACCTTCTGTATGAAGCACACAACTGATTTCCTACAAAAGGCATCTGTTAACAGTAACTATACTGAACACATACAGAAAAAGAATGACCTAAAACTAATAAACATATAATACTCAATGAAACGCTGATCATAATCAAAACATCAGACCAACTCTGTGAGGTTTTTTTTGCAGAATTTATGTCCTAAAAATAAAAAACAGTTGATTAACAAACTATCATTAAAATATTGACACAGTTGTTACGAGCGAGGAGTGCAAAGAGAGGAACAGCCAGGTGTGTGAGAAAGGATGGAGACATCCTCACTTGTTTGGCGGGGTACGTTTCAAAAGTCATCATCAAAGGGATTGTCTGAATCCAACTCTGAACAAATACTGTCAGAGTCCACTCTGACGATGACTGTTCTAATGGTGGCATGGTCTAAACCACTGTCTTGCCAGTATTTAGATTCAATATCCTTTTCCACTTTTCCAACACATCTCTGGCATGTTTCTTGCAAGATGTTACTGATGTTTTGATGTAAATGTTTTTGTACATCACCCACTTTGAAGGTGGTGTTATTTCTTCCCACTTCGGACTTAATGATACCCCAGACCAGCTCTATGAGGTTAAGGTCACAATGGTGAGTGAGTGAGTGAGTTAATTTTTATCGTCACATCGGCAATATTTCAGCCATATTGATGAGAACACTTTATAATTATATTAAAGATCAATAAAGTTAGAAATTAAAAAACCTGTTGAAGAAGAATGGTAAAACTACTAGTGTATCACAGATATCCATTTAAAACTAGCAATTAAATCTTAAATATTGGAACTATAAATAACAATACAATATAAAAACAGGCTATAGATTGCCCATGACTGAAGGTAGATCACCATACTAGGGACCATGGTGACTTACAGTACATTTGCTTCCTGCATGGACCCTAGCTGGATTTACACCATCCCCTTGGCCGTTAGCAACGTAGACAAATCTAGCCATACATTTAAAAACACACACATTCTACGATTAAAACTAGCGGAGAGTTTCAATTTACTTTGAATGTTTGTGGACTTACGTATCCTCTCAGGAGGACAATAATTTTACAGTACTTTAACCCCCCTTGAGGATACAGCCACTAACAATCTGAATTATTAATTCAAACTTCCAATCATAAAATATTTATCTATTTACAAATCAGTTAACAAATCTAATTCTTTCAAAAATGCAATAATTAAATAAGACCTTATATGACTAAAAAGATCCTTCATACTTCGTGATTTGAAATAGATATCCCTTGAGATGGAATATATTGAACACAGTCATGCAAGACATGCTTGACCGTGATTCTTTCATCACAAGGTATACAAAACAGAGGATCCTCACCTTTCAACAGGTACTCATGAGTATATCTTGTGTGGCCAATACGACATCGTCGTATGATGACCTCTTCAGATCTGGACTGACAACCCAAGTAGGTGTAACCGATAGTTGGTTTGATTGCATGTAATTTATTGATACCTACCTGGGTGCCCCACTTCTTTTGCATCAGATAACGGATGTAAGTTCTAATGCTAGCTTTGTAATCAGAGTATGGAATAAGAAGTGGTGTCACAGATTTGTTGAGTGCTGCCTTGGAGGTAAAATCGGCTATTGTGTTCCCGGAAATGCCAACGTGGCTGGGTAACCAACAAAAGACGATGTCGTATTGGCCAGTAGTAAGATCATTATATAATTCAATCATTTCGATTAAAAGTGGATGTTTGCAAGAAATATTTTTGATAGCCTGAAGGCAAGAAAGAGAATCGGAAAAGATTATGTATTGTTTATATTTAGGGTGTTAATATTGCGTTAGCTTCTACAGTGAAAATAGAGCTGTTATCAGGCAATCTAGAAGATATTGTTTTGGAGCCAATGACATTGGCACAAGCTGCTGTGCCACCATCCTTGGATCCATCTGTAAATAAGGATTTGTATGTATGATATTTATTTCTTAATTGACTAAATTCTTGTTTATACTGTAATTCATTAGTTTCTGACTTTTTAAATGTGGTTAATGTTAGGTCAACCTAACCAATTGCCAAGGAGGAGAAGAAAGCAAACGGGAAGGAGAAATATTTTCTAGCTCAATGCCAGCAGCAGAAAGGCAAGGTTTGACTCTTAGTCCCAGAGGCGGAACAAGAGAAGACTTTTTATTGTATAGATCCCCATAAAGAGGATTAAAAACACAGTTAAATGCAGGATTTGACTCATTAGAAAATACTTTTGTTACACACTGCAAGGACAATTTTATACAGCGTTTTGTAAGAGATGGCTCATCAGCCTCGATGTAGAGACTGTCAACAGGAGAAGTTAGAAAAGACCCAAGACAAAGTCTTAGGCCTTGGTGGTGGACAGAATCAAGTAGTTGTAGGTTGCTTTTACAGGCTCCACCATAGACAATGGAGCCATAATCAAGTTTGGAACGGACCAGTGATCGATATAGATGGAGGAGGGTAGTTTGATCCCTTCCCCATTAAGAATTTGAAACGACTTTCAACAAGTCAAGTGCCTTCAGGCATTGACTTTTAAGGGATTTAATATGTGACAGAAACGTTCAGTGTGAGTCACAAAATAACACCCAAGAACTTGGCCTCCTTCACAACTTTGATGGGTGTGCCATTTAGAGATAGTTCAGGGTCTTTATGCGGTTTGTATTTACGGCAAAAATGTATACAATTAGTTTTGGATTTAGAAAAATTTAAAGCCGTTTTCAAGACACCATTCATTTATTTTGTTTAAACACAACTGCAGTTGTCGTTCAATAGTATGCATATTTTTACCTCGACAAGAAATATTAAAATCATCCACAAAAAGTGATCCATCAATTGAATCGTTTAAAACCTTTGATAAACTGTTAATCTTAATACTAAACAATGTGACAGACAAAATACTGCCTTGTGGAACACCCTGATCCTGATTGTAATGGTCAGACAGGGTTGAACCCACTCGGACTTGAAATTGTCTGTCATTTAAAAAGTTGGATATAAATTTAGCTTAACCTGTAGAGGTTTCCAATTCTTTGAAGAGAATCGTCCTTGGGGTACATATATGCATTTTCTGTGGCTGAAAATGTCATGTGAAAGTTGTATCAATGTTTTAATAAAAATATTGTACAATAAATAAAAATCTTTTTTATCTATTATACGGCCCCCACCACGTGGAGTTACCTCCCTGCTACGCATGCGCAGCCAACCAGGAGGGAATTCTGTCAAAGTACACATAAATAGCGATCGTTAGGAAGAACGTAACAGACGCCACAACACTCACCTGTCACGTGTCCCGCAGTTTCCGCAAGAGGCATGATGGGAGGGTAACCGACAGGGAGGAAAGTACTGAGACCCGACCTCACAGGTTAAGCAAAGCATTTCGCACACAGTGCGAATGTAAAAAACCCCGCCCGCATCATGAATCTATTAAAGAGCACCGTAAGGGGGAAAACCAACTCACAACCGACCATAATCTCCTGAGAGAATCGAAAGGAGTTAGATATGATAACAGCGGATATATCAATGATACACAATTGAAAGCAGCGTCAACTGTCCAGATAACCAAGACTCACTCGGTCAGGGTGACATGACACTGTCCACTGGAGAGAACAGAACGGCCAAAACGTGCACGATCACGTGAATGTGTATCGAGCTGATAGTGCCTGATGAAAGTGCTAGGCCTGCTCCAAATCACGGCAGAGCATATCTCTTCAATGGGTAGTGCCGATGCAAAAGCCTTTGACATGGCCACTGCCCTGAACGAGTGAGCCTTCAACCCCTCAGGGGGAGGCTTGCCCTTAGCCTGATAAGCAGCACAAATTACTACCAATACAAGCCAGCGTGATAGGGTCTGTTTGCTAGCCGGCATGCCAGCCTTCCCGCCACCGTAACAGCAGAACAGATGGGTACCCGTACGGATCCCTTGTGTTCCTTTGATATAGACCTTGAGGGTCTTACGGGCATCCAACGGGAGAGTGATCGTTGCAGAGGTCCCCGATGTGAAAGGCTGGGTAAGAGTAGGAAGTTCAATAGGAGCTGATTTTCGGACGGTAAGTATCCGGGGGGCGAATACTGACACGATATGGATGGAACACAGTCAGTGCCGGGTCTGCCGACATAGCATGTAAGTCGCCGACCCTTCGCCCTAATGTTACCGCCACCAGAAATACGGCCTTCCATGTTAACAGCTGAATGGAAATAGTCGATTGACATGAGAATGTAGGACCAGACAGCCAATCTAGCACAATTGACAAATCCCAAGGTGGGCTGGTTTGCCTGACAGCAGGTCGAACGTGATCCACGCCAGCTAAAAAGCGCTGCATAAGATGGTGCTGCCCCAGAAGAGCACCATCAACAGGGGTGTGGAAAGTGGAAATAGCGGTGGAGTAGCCACGAATGGTCAAAGCCGCCAAGCCTTCTTCCAAACAAGCTTGCAAAAACTCCAATACTCTGACTAAATCTCACAGAAAAGGGATCTGCAATCCCCCTATCTGAACATCAGCGCAAATATCCTAATATTGAACGTTTGTCGAATCCCGCCTCGAAGCCAGAATTGTGTCTGCAACTGCTGCAGGAATTCCGCATGCCTCGAGGCTATACCTGGTAGAGACCAAGGCACCCACTGAATCCTTGGATTGGGGTGTGGCGTGCCGTTCTGAGTGAGAATGTTCGGTCGCAAAGGTAATAGAACAGGAGGCTGAGCCAGAAACCTGAGAATTACCGGACACCAGCACTGTGACAGCCATAGCGGTGCCAGTAGCACAAGTAGTCGAGCTGGCTGGCTGGATAGCTGAGAGAGGACCCTGGGAATGAGTGGTAGAGGCAGAAACGCCCAGAGCACCTTGCCCGTCCCATCCAGCAGGAAGGCGTCGGAAGCCAACGCCCTCTGGTCCAGTATTCGAGAGCAGAACACGGGTATCTGATTTGTCCCGCCAGACGCAAACAGATCCACCTCGTACAACTGGGAGATAACTCCGAATATCTGACGGTCGGGCATCCACTTGTGCGGGGCCAGGATCGGGCGAGAGAGAGCGTCTGCTCGCACATTCTCCAGACCCGGGAGATTAACAGGAATCACCTGACAGTCGCACTGGTCGCACCAGAGGAGAAATTCCCACGTCTCCCGAAGGAGCGCTAAGGACACCGTGCCGCCTTGCTTCAGGATGTACGTCATGGCCGTACGGTTGTCCAACTGAAGACGCATGCTTCCTCCTTCACGAATGCTTCCAACTCCGCGCATGCTTCCTCCTTCGCGATTGCTTTCGCGCTTGCTTCCTCCTTCACGAATGCTTCCGCCATCGCGCAGGCTGCTGTCATCGATGGGCTGTGGTCTGCAGGCTGCTTGACCTTCACGCAGGTTCGATGTAGATGGGACCTCAGTAGCTGTTTTCTCCTGCGCGAACCTTCGCTCCATTAGGTCCATCATCTGCTGTGTAAACGACCCAGGGGTTGAAGCTCTGCGACGACTGCTGCTGCTGCTGCTGCTGCACTGCGGACAACGCATCTGCGAGTGTCGAGGGTTCTCCTAAGGACTGCTGCACTCGTGGGGAACTGCCATCTGTGATGACTGCTGCTATTGCTGTAGATGAAGACCTCGTCTTCTTCCTCACTGGCACTTCAGGGATGAGGATGGGTGGCTCATCATAAACGTCTACTTCATCTGCTGGGATGATCTCTGCTGCCCCATGTGAAGACTTCGCCGGAGTCTTAGTAGACGACTTCTTCTTCTGAGAAGACGATACCCTCGTCTTCTTCGACTGCAATGAGGTTATAGTTGATGTAGACGACCTCTTCTTGGAGCCGGAGCTGCCATCAGACACCGCAACCTGCTCCGTAGAAGCAGACGGTAAACTACTAGAATGGTGAATGTCAGTAGGCAACAACAAACGGTTATCAACGCAATAATTTGGTTTAGATATGACTTGTGAAAGTCGTCTACACCTGTCCTTGGAACGCCTAAGAATGGAATATAAATAATTATTAAATTCAAATTCAGTTAAATTCTGACAAAGTTGGAGAAGTACAATTAGGACATATTAAAAGTGGATCAGCAAATGACAATCGGTATCTGCAACGACTGCAAGATTTCATCAAAAATAAACACGATGAAAACACATGTCAACAACGTGAACAAATACAGATAATTTTGACAAAATTTCAAACCATATTGTTGGTATATCAATCCTAAAACCGTATACAGCTAATTTAGTAGCAAGGCCTAAAAGTTTAAAGGATATAACGCCGTATAGGGGACCCAGGCGCTCTCACAACCGTCCTCAAGGGCGAAGAAGGAGAGAGTGAGGGGCATGTCCGAACATGTGACTAGTTTTCCCGCCAAAAGAGTCACAAGGGAGATAACACTGGGTGAGTGATTTTACGTCCGCTATTTTTAAGGGAGCTTCAAAAGGGGATTCAAGTGTTCCACTATCATTCGCAAAAAGAAAGAGGCAAGCAATTAAGCATGAGTCAGGATAAGGAAAAATTTTGGAACTTTTGGAGCCACTTGTAATGACACTTCCACTTGTAAAATTATACATGAAACCAACAGAAATAAAAGCGTATTTGGCACTTTTAGAGCACATTGTTTTTGCCATGGAAATCAAGGGCAGATAATTCAAAGGAAGCTAACAGTGAATCTGAAACATATCGCGATAATCGTATCGCCAGATACTGTACCGGTATATACCGGTAATATTGCACAGCCCTACTCGCAAGTAGCTATTTTGTAGGCGAATAATGTTGGATCTTTCACATAGAACATGTCTATTCTCCCCACTAATCTCTTTATAACGGAACCCAAATTTGTGTAGCAATAACCATACCTGATGTTTGGATGTTACAAGGGAATTTCAGTCTCCATGTGCTTATTCAAAACACGCAAAGAAAGGAACTTATTTTGGCCATATAAAATCCTAACAGCATTCAAAAAACGTTCTCTTTCAAATGATTATAGACTTTACTACTTTCACTGGCTTGATACAGCCCCTTCAGGTGTGTTACTGTTGGCTGAAATGCCAGTACATTTCTGCTCAGTGCACGTATTTAAAATGTCTCTCAGACAACCCAACAGCACATGCTGTGCATTTAACATATTTTGATATTGAATATTTGTCCAGCCCTCTGTGATTCAACCTTGAAAGAATCACAGACTCATAAATAATAGACGTAACTTCATGCGAGTATTTCATTGTGTGTATCTCAGCACAGGTAAATGAATTAATAACTTTGTCGGAAACTTGTGCACATGCTTTCTCGTACACCTGGGTGTTCCTCTCTTTGCACTCCTCCCTCTAACAAACAGTGTTCAGTGTCAATATTTTTATGATAGTTTGTTGAACAACTTATACATTTTTAGGACATAAATTCTGCAAAAAAACTCAAAGATTTGGTTTGATGTTTTGATTATGATCAGCGTTTCATTGAGTATTATATGTTTATTAGTTTTCGAATTAGATTGCAATTCATCGGTCTGCTTTTGAGCCATACAGACTGTAGTTGCCACCTACGACAAATATGGGTTGCTGAAGCAATTCTAACCAGGATCTCCAAGGGTATTTGTTAACATTCAGTACTGATATTTGACTTAATATTTCTAAAAGGTTTACAGAGGAAGAGGTTAATGGAAAGGCTATATTTGTTCTTAAAATGAACATTTAAAAAAACAAATGATGTGACAATGTCAAGATGATCTTTAACGATGATCTTTTTAAGGTATCATGTATCTATGCTTAACAAAAACAACCAGGGGATCATGAATAGTTTAGGGATCATGACCATGTCAACTCAGCAGTACTGTACACAATGCCTACCTCTTGTACAAAGCATGCCACAAGTCTCCTGCTCATCAACAGACTGAGGAACTGTACCAGGTATGGGTCAATCAGGTAGAAGTTCTGTAACAGTAATATTGAAAATATAACAATGACACCATCATGAACAGACTGAGAAACTGTAACAAATATGGGTTAGTAAAATAGAAGTTCAGGGAGTGTACCAAATATGGCAGGTAAACTAGAAGTTCAGCAACGGTAATATAGAAAATATAATACTGGTGCCATCATCAACAGACTGAGGAAATGTACCAAATAAATTAAATAAATTAAAGATTTAACGGTTTCTTTATACTTAGAATAAAACAGCTGTGGGTGACAGCTCAGTATGACACATGAAATGGACCAGTGTCAGATAATTTACCCCTTTCAACACAACATCATCATAATTATTTCTCACTTTACTGAAATGCATGTGAAAACAGTGGACACACATGTATGAGTATGAGCTGCTCTAGTATACATGACAAGTATAGGTAAATTGTCCCCTTACCAAAGCATAGCTAGAATGTGAATGGGGCAGCCACCACACAGTCTTGTACAAGTTGATGTATTGTAGACACATCACGATTATTCCAAACACATAGAGCATTGCCTCAAAGTACAGGTTACTGTCTCCAGGGATTTCTGGAACGGATGCATGTTTGGGCAACACAACCATTGATGCCAGTGGAATCATGTTGGTCTCACGATCATCGCCATTACTGCTGAAACAAGCAGCATACTCAGTATATCATTACAGCAAATGACATTACCAATTCTACCAGCACAACTTGGCCCTCTGATTATGATGAGAACATGTCATACTGACCATTCATCATATTCATGTTTTCAAAATATATGGGTGGCATGGGGAATGAAACTTTACTTTCTCAATAACAAACAAAATGTCAACAATTATGATAGACAAACATTGTGACATGGGAAATGATGGTCCAGAAACCATTGTGAGACTGCAAAGTTACAAAAGTGGAATACCTCTCTATATATAATTGACATTACTAGGTCTAACTGAACTGATATTGGCATAGAGGACAATATAGTAACTATAGTAAACAACACTGGATTATGAGAAAAATGTTCATAATGATCAGATCTGTGAATGTATATAAACATGAAAAAGAATATTTTATATTCTTTAGTGATAATCATGAGAGAGAGCAAAACAAAACCTAGATGATGTGTATATCATGGTGTATGAGCAGGCTGGCTCTCAAATAATTTTTACTTATGATTGAAATGTTTAGTTCTCATGTAAATATATTCTAGCTGATGACTTGTATTCGTAAAGGACAAGTTATTGCACACACCTTGCTTTACACTTCAAATTGTGAAAAGCAAACCATCTTATGTTTGGAAACATTGAGAATACACCAGACAAGCACCTTGGCCAAATACATCGAGTCAAGTGTTACATGAGTAGTTCATGTGAACATAACTTGAAAAAAAACTGAAATGTATATACATTGGACCCTTGAATATCATAGAAATAGTCTGAATACCACTAATATTTAGTAATAAAACATAAATGGACGAGAACTGGTTCGTATTCAGATTGGAGATCTCATTCTCATTCTCACTGTCTCAGACTGTTTCAAGTTCCTGTATATATATTGAAGTACTTTCGAAAGAACATCTGAATCTAATTATAAATAGTAACTTGGCTATTCATTTACGTACAGTTGGGCCGTTCACTTCATTTGTCGGGGTCTATATTTGTCAGTCATGTCAACGTAAATACTTAGTATAACCATCACTGTCTGTTATCAGCATCAAGTCAAGTTAGCTATTATTGCGCGAAATGTGAGGTGTTATTCATCTCTTTTTTCCTATACTTATAAACGATAATTCTCACTTTCCAGCTGCTCCAGATCCTTTGTGAACAGACGAGGGATACGAGGAGGATGACTGAATCCTCGACAATATCCGGCGCCCCCCTGGCATATTACACACCGTCGATTATAACATAAATTATTCAATGTTTATAAGCTTGGCCGCCATTAGCCGGAAGTTCACTACAATAAATCCGCACAAACGTACTACTATTTGTTCAATTTGATTTGGTAAATGAAGCACTTTTTATTGTGCTAGATCTTTTTATATTAATCAGATCGCAACATGCAATCAAAAGTTCCTGATGTGACCATTAGTTATAAAAATAAGACAACTATTTAAGCACGTATTAGATACCTGGAGCGGTTATCTCCCTTGCTCGGCCTATTATTAAAAGGGTGTGTGATGGGGACTGACGGATAGTATATGACGTTCAAAGGGTTTATGCCAAGACTGTCGACAACAAGAAATAATCCGTCCAAAATACTTGTCGACAGTCCGGGAAAAGGGAGTTGATGTTCTACATGAGTGACTTCACTCCCAGTGTTCTCGAATTAACAAACTAATTAAAACAGAGTGTGATATATATAGTAGACAATATTTATTCGGTCAATATAACAACATGCATGTATCATATGTCACATAATATAGCATATTTGTTCATATATTTCATAAAGCTCACACAATATATTTGTGCGTGTGTTTTATATAAATAAGTAATTTCTGCAGGTGTATAAGTAATAAATATATAAAAGATGAGTCCAGTTATTTCTTCTTTCCAAAACACCTTTAATCTGAATGTTCAGCCAAGATGAAGCAGCTCTGACACATGGTCTGTGTAATGCAAGTCAGTAAGTCTGTCGGCAAGAAGGTCGGCCTTCAAGGATCGAATCCTTGCGTCGATGATTCGGTAGCGACGTCTACGGACGGGATCTCTCTGCTGTCCTTGGATCTGCTGAATTTTTACTTCAGTAGATGACTGTTCTTTTTGTAGCATTCGCACAACCTCAAATACATTGGGATGTGTCTTCATGGCATACTTGTTGATTTTGTTGTGCCAACCTTCCAAATTATTGTTAGTTCTGTGTCCATCATTTTCAAAATGATTCCAAGTTGACAGTGTCCATGGACCTTCTACCCAGTTGGTAGTAACGTAATCCATCACCTGTGTCGCCTTTTCACCTAGTGATGCTTCTGTTGACTCTGTACTTGAATCCATTGTGGTAAAGATTCTGACCTCTATGAATGTTGTCATTCAATGTGACCCGCACCATAGCATTTGCCATTTTGACACTAGTAACACAATATTCATGATCTATTATATATACCCACATGCGAAATGTTTACAAAAGCATTTCGATAATCCTTCTACTCCCAATATCACAAAATAATTTGTAAGCTCTCCGTTTCTCATGTTGTTGCATGTTAAACTCCAAAATGATAATCCTTCCACTCGCATAACGTAAAATAATAATCTGTTTTTGCAACCTTAATTCTCTTGCAAATTGTTAAAACGACATTCTCTTTAATCAACTTAATTCATTTACTCATGATACGAGCATAGCTGTAGCCGCCATAGCCACTTGCAACCACTAAGCAAACATTCTCTTTCATTAATTAACACCGTCACGGTATGTTGACCACGCGATGTCGACATTCCGGTTTTTTTGTTTTGTCGACAGTTAGGGACATCCTATTTTTCATTTGTCGACAGATCGGGCTGACACCGTTCAAAGTCAATCAAACGAGACCAAATACAATTACTGAGAAGATCGGAAATGATAATTTGTTCAGCTGAGACATATTGTATGCATTTGTTAACTTCAATCAGACGAATCAGACAAATGGAATTTATACCATGTGGGTCATCAGAATCTCAAAGGATTTTTACTCTGAAAACACAAACATAATACAACGCTATCCGACTTAACAAACGTAAGCGACAGTTACATATCTATCGTCATGTATACAGTTACATATCTATCGTCATGTATACAGTTACATATCTATCGTCATGTATACAGTTACATATCTATCGTCATGTATACAGTTGCATATCTATCGTCATGTATACAGTTACATATCTATCGTCATGTATACAGTTACATATCTATCGTCATGTATACAGTTACATATCTATCGTCATGTATACAGTTACATATCTATCGTCATGTATACAGTTGCATATCTATCGTCATGTATACAGTTACATATCTATCGTCATGTATACAGTTGCATATCTATCGTCATGTATACAGTTACATATCTATCGTCATGTATACAGTTGCATATCTATCGTCATGTATACAGTTACATATCTATCGTCATGTATACAGTTGCATATCTATCGTCATGTATACAGTTACATATCTATCGTCATGTATACAGTTACATATCTATCGTCATGTATACAGTTGCATATCTATCGTCATGTATACAGTTACATATCTATCGTCATGTATCGTCATGTACAGTTGCATATCTATCGTCATGTATACAGTTACATATCTATCGTCATGTATACAGTTACATATCTATCGTCATGTATACAGTTGCATATCTATCGTCATGTATACAGTTGCATATCTATCGTCATGTATACAGTTACATATCTATCGTCATGTATACAGTTGCATATCTATCGTATACAGTTGCATATCTATCGTCATGTATACAGTTGCATATCTATCGTCATGTATACAGTTGCATATCTATCGTCATGTATACATATATCTATCGTCATGTATACAGTTACATATCTATCGTCATGTATACAGTTATATCTATCGTCATGCATATCTATCGTCATGTATACAGTTGCATATCTATCGTCATGTATACAGTTGCATATCTATCGTCATGTATACAGTTGCATATCTATCGTCATGTATACAGTTGCATATCTATCGTCATGTATACAGTTGCATATCTATCGTCATGTATACAGTTGCATATCTATCGTCATGTATACAGTTGCATATCTCTCGTCATGTATACAGTTGCATATCTCTCGTCATGTATACAGTTGCACATCTCTCGTCATGTATACAGTTGCATATCTCTCGTCATGTATACAGTTGCATATCTATCGTCATGTATACAGTTGCATATCTATCGTCATGTATACAGTTGCATATCTATCGTCATGTATACAGTTACATATCTATCGTAACGTATACAGTTGCATATCTATCATCATATATACAGTTGCATCTCTATCGTCATGTATACAGTTGCATATCTATCGTCATGTATACAAAAATGGAAGCAAATGCCATCTTAAGTAAGATGAGAAAACAATATGGGAAATGCTGGCCCCGATCATTTCAACATCAGTGTAAAATAAGAGAATAGACCTCTAGACAAGAAGTAGGCATTCCCATTAGCACCCATTGTGCTAATTTGACCGCATCCGTGGTGTAATGGTTAGAGCGTCCGCCCGGAGAGCGGAAGGTCGTGGGTTCGAACCCCGACCGCGTCATACCAAAAGACGTTAAAATATGGTACTTGTTGGTCCCTGCCTGGCGCTCACCATTAATGGGTACAACAAGGACTGGTCTGCTCGGAGTCAGTTTAATGTGTCTGAGTGGGATATTCATGCTTCACTGCGGCATGGTATCTCAGTGGGCAAGCACTATAAAACCAGCTTCAGTCTGGGCTAGTACAAGCAGCCGCACCTACACATACACACGCATGCACGTCGTTAAACCCAATTTCACTTCCCCTCCTTGCTGATTTCTTTTGTCATGCTCATGAATCTCATGAATCTGGCTTTGTCGTCATAACTATAGTGCTTGATGCTGAATGCTATTTACAGATGTGCGGAACATTATTGTTCAACATTACACAATGTGTACTCTTTTACATTATTGTCTGTGCTCAACGTTATACTTGCGTACTCTAACAACATTATTATGTGTGGTCAATGTTATACATAGTGTACTCTCATTACATTATTCTTTATACACAACATTATACATAGTGTACTCTCTTTACATTATTGTCTATGTTCAACATTGTACATAGTGTACTCTTATTACATTATTGTCTATGTTCAACATTATACATAGTGTACCCCATTACATTATTGTCTATGTTCAACATTGTACATAGTGTACTCTAATTACATTATTGTCTATGTTCAACATTGTACATAGTGTACTCTCATTACATTATTGTCTATGTTCAACATTGTACATAGTGTACTCTCATTACATTATTGTCTATGTTCAACATTGTACATAGTGTACTCTCATTACATTATTGTCTATGTTCAACATTATACATTGAGTACTCTCATTACATTATTCTTTATACACAACATTATACATAGTGTACTCCCATTATATTATTGTCTATGTTCAACATTATACATAGTAAACTCTCATTACATTATTCTTTATACACAACATTATACATAGTGTACTCTCATTACATTATTCTTTATACACAACATTGTACATAGTGTACTCTCATTAAATTATTGTCTATGTTCAACATTACCCATAGTGTACTCTCATTATATTATTGTTTATACACTACATTATGCATAGTGTACTCTCATTATATTTTTGTTTATACACGACATTATACATAGTTTACTCTCATTACATTATTCTTTATACACAACATTATACATAGTGTACTCTCATTACATTATTATTTATACACAACATTATACATAGTGTACCCTCATTACATTATTGTTTATACACAACATTATATATAGTGTACTCTCATTACATTATTGTTTATACACAACATTATACATAGTGTACTCTCATTACATTATTGTTTATACAAAACATTATACATAGTGTACTCTCATTATATTATTGTTTATACGCAACATTTACATAGTGTACTCTCATTATATTACTGTTTATACTCAACATTGTACATAGTGTACTCTCATTACATTATTGTTTATACTCAACATTATACATTGTGTACTCTCATTATATTACTGTTTATATGCAACATTATACATAGTGTACTCGCATTACATTATTGTTTATACTCAACATTATACATAGTGTACTCTCATTATATTACTGTTTATACGCAACATTATACAAAGCAGCACTGTCTCTTCAGTATTGTTTATGCTCAAGATAATACACAAGCTCAGTATCACCACGGTTGTGAGAACTAACGATTGTGAGAACGTATACACTGTATGTGCCTCCATGTGATACACGTCTATATCTGTCAACATGCTGTTATCTGGAGTACCTATGATCAAACTAGTTAATTCAGTCAAATTGGTTGTGCTCCAGACGTCCAGACGCGCCCACCTGGTGGCGTCAGTGCACCACCATGACGTAGTACACGCTCACAACACCGTATGTACCCTCTGTTCCCCCTCATTGTAGCCGAGCAGCAGCGAGTGGTTCCAGAACTATTTTCGCGGAATTCCATCAAGTTAAATAACCGGGGAAAGTATTTATTTGTTGTATTTAACAGTTTGTCCTGTCCGATGAAAATAGGACTTCCGATGAAAATAGTTGAGACCGTGTCTGTGTCTGTTTGCTCCCACTTTCAGAGTATATGTTGAGGTGGTGTATCATAAGGCTGTGTCTGTGTCTGTGTCTGTTTGCTCCCACTTTCAGAGTATATGTTGAGGTGGTGTATCATTAGGCTGCGTCTGTGTCTGTGTCTGTTTGCTCCCACTTTCAGAGTATATGTTGAGGTGGTGTATCGTTAGTTCTGTGTCTGTGTCTGTGTCTGTTTGCTCCCACTTTCAGAGTATATGTTGAGGTGGTGTATCGTTAGGCTGTGTCTGTGTAGTGTATCACACCCCAAACTTGGGGTACAGCCAAGTGTTCAGATGGATCACAAGAACACTGAACATGATATCAACAGATTGTTACAACAAGAGCATGGGTGTGCTATCCGTCTCATGTCAGGTCATTTGATGACCTCGGCGTCTAATCGGGTTGACCAATGAAATCACGTATGTACTATCTGTGTTTCTGTTACAAATGAACGAGTCCGTGCAATGCATCCATTCACAATTTGGACAAGCTACGATGCTCAGTGCAAGAGCGCGCGCTTTCTCCGTTGAACAGTTGCTAGGAAAACCTGACAACCAGACTGATATACTTGGAAGTGGCGGAAGTCACTGCTTACAGGGTGCATGTGAAGCACAGTTTGACAAGTTCGTTAAGACGGTGTATGGTAAGACTCCTACGGTCACATTTTATGTTTGGGAGGTGTATGGTAAAGCTTCCACTTTCACAGTTTATGTTTAGGAGGTGTTTGATAAAGCTTCTACTTTCACAGTTTATGTTTAGGAGGTGTTTAATAAAGCTTCCACTTTCACAGTTTATGTTTAGGAGGTGTTTAATAAAGCTTCCACTTTCACAGTTTATGTTTAGAAGGTGTTTGATAAAGCTTCCACTTTCACAATTTATGTTTAGGAGGTGTTTGATAAAGCTTCCACTTTCACAATTTATGTTTAGGAGGTGTTTGATAAAGCTTCCACTTTCACAATTTATGTTTAGGAGGTGTTTGGTAAAGCTTCCACTTTCACAATTTATGTTTAGGAGGTGTTTGGTAAAGCTTCTACTTTCACAATTTATGTTTAGGAGGTGTTTGATAAAGCTTCCACTTTCACAGTTTATGTTTAGGAGGTGTTTGATAAAGCTTCCACTTTCACAGTTAATGTTTAGAAGGTGTTTGATAAAGCTTCCACTTTCACAGTTTATGTTTAGGAGGTGTTTGATAAAGCTTCTACTTTCACAGTTTATGTTTAGGAGGTGTTTGATAAAGCTTCCACCTTCACAGTTAATGTTTAGGAGGTGTTTGATAAAGCTTCCACTTTCACAATTTATGTTTAGGAGGTGTTTGATAAAGCTTCCACTTTCACAATTTATGTTTAGGAGGTGTTTGGTAAAGCTTCCACTTTCACAATTTATGTTTCGGAGGCGTTTGATAAAGCTTCCACTTTCACAATTTATGTTTAGGAGGTGTTTGATAAAGCTTCCACTTTCACAGTTTATGTTTAGGAGGTGTTTGATAAAGCTTCCACTTTCACAGTTTATCTTTAGGAGGTGTTTCGTAAAGCTTGTACTTTCACAGTTTATGTTTAGGAGGTGTTTGATAAAGCTTCCACTTTCACAATTTATGTTTAGGTGTTTGATAAAGCTTCCACTTTCACAATTTATGTTTAGGTGTTTGGTAAAGCTTCCACTTTCACAGTTTATGTTTAGGAGGTGTTTGATAAAGCTTCCACTTTCACAGTTTATCTTTAGGAGGTGTTTGGTAAAGCTTCTACTTTTACAGTTTATGTTTAGGAGGTGTTTGATAAAGCTTCCACTTTCACAATTTATGTTTAGGTGTTTCATAAAGCTTCCACTTTCACAGTTTATGTTTAGGAGGTGTTTCGTAAAGCTTGTACTTTCACAGTTTATGTTTAGGAGGTGTTTGATAAAGCTTCCACTTTCACAGTTTATCTTTAGGAGGTGTTTGGTAAAGCTTCCACTTTCACAGTTTATGTTTAGGAGGTTTTTGATAAAGCTTCCACTTTCACAGTTTATGTTTAGGAGGCGTTTGGTAAAGCTTCCACTTTCACAGTGTATGTTTAGGAGGTGTTTGATAAAGCTTCCACTTTCACAATTTATGTTTTGGAGGTGTTTGATAAAGCTTCCACTTTCACAATTTATGTTTAGGAGGTGTTTGATAAAGCTTCCACTTTCACAGTTTATGTTTAGGAGGTGTTTGATAAAGCTTCTACTTTCACAGTTTATGTTTAGGAGTTGTTTGGTAAAGCTTCCACTTTCACAGTTTATGTTTAGGAGGTGTTTGGTAAAGCTTCCACTTTCACAATTTATGTTTAGGAGGTGTTTGGTAAAGCTTCCACTTTCACAATTTATGTTTAGGAGGTGTTTGGTAAAGCTTCCACTTTCACAATTTATGTTTAGGAGGTGTTTGATAAAGCTTCCACTTTCACAGTTTATGTTTAGGAGGTGTTTAATAAAGCTTCCACTTTCACAATTTATGTTTAGGAGGTGTTTGGTAAAGCTTCCACTTTCACAGTTTATGTTTAGGAGGTTTTTTTATAAAGCTTCCACTTTCACAGTTTATGTTTAGGAGGTGTTTGGTAAAGCTTCCACTTTCACAGTTTATGTTTAGGAGGTGTTTGGTAAAGCTTCCACTTTCACAGTTTATGTTTAGGAGGTTTTTTTATAAAGCTTCAACTTTCACAGTTTATGTTTAGGAGGTGTTTGGTAAAGCTTCCACTTTCACAGTGTACGTTTAGGAGGCTCAATTTCAGAACATATGTTGAGGTGGTGTATCGTTAGCCTAACACTTTCAGAGTATATGTTGACGTGGTGTATCATTAGGCCCACACTTTCAGAGTATATGTTGAGGTGGTGTTTCGTTAGGCTCCCACTTTCAGAGTATATGTTGAGGTGGTGTATCGTTAGGCTAACACCTTCAGAGTATATGTTGAGGTGGTGTATCGTTAGGCCCACACTTTCAGAGTATATGTTGAGGTGGTGTATCGTTAGGCCCACACTTTCAGAGTATATGTTGAGGTGGTGTATCGTTAGGCTCCCACTTTTAGTGTATATGTTGAGGTGGTGTATCGTTAGGCTAACACTTTCAGAGTATATGTTGAGGTGGTGTATCGTTAGGCTAACACCCTCAGAGTATATGTTGAGGTGGTGTATCGTTAGGCTAACACTTTCAGAGTATATGTTGAGGTGGTGTATCATTAGGCTAACACCCTCAGAGTATATGTTGAGGTGGTGTATCGTTAGGCTCTCACTTTCAGAGTATATGTTGAGGTGGTGTATCATTAGGCTAACACCCTCAGAGTATATGTTGAGGTGGTGTATCGTTAGGCTCTCACTTTCAGAGTATATGTTGAGGTGGTGTATCGTTAGGCTCCCACTTTCAGAGTATATGTTGAGGTGGTGTATCGTTAGGCTCCCACTTTCAGAGTATATGTTGAGGTGGTGTATCGTTAGGCCCACACCCTCAGAGTATATGTTGAGGTGGTGTATCGTTAGGCCCACACTTTCAGAGTATATGTTGAGGTGGTGTATCGTATATTGAGGTATCGTTAACACCCTCAGAGTATATGTTGAGGTGGTGTATCGTTAGGCTCTCACTTTCAGAGTATATGTTGAGGTGGTGTATCGTTAGGCTAACACCCTCAGAGTATATGTTGAGGTGGTGTATCGTTAGGCTCTCACTTTCAGAGTATATGTTGAGGTGGTGTATCATTAGGCCCACACTTTCAGAGTATATGTTGAGGTGGTGTATCGTTAGGCTAACACCCTCAGAGTATATGTTGAGGTGGTGTTTCGTTAGGCTCTCACTTTCAGAGTATATGTTGAGGTGGTGTATCGTTAGGCCCACACTTTCAGAGTATATGTTGAGGTGGTGTATCGTTCGGCTCCCACTTTCAGAGTATATGTTGAGGTGGTGTATCGTTAGGCTAACACCCTCAGAGTATATGTTGAGGTGGTGTATCGTTAGGCTCTCACTTTCAGAGTATATGTTGAGGTGGTGTATCGTTAGGCTAACACCCTCAGAGTATATGTTGAGGTGGTGTATCGTTAGGCTCCCACTTTCAGAGTATATGTTGAGGTGGTGTATCGTTAGGCTAACACCCTCAGAGTATATGTTGAGGTGGTGTATCGTTAGGCTCTCACTTTCAGAGTATATGTTGAGGTGGTGTATCGTTAGGCCCACACTTTCAGAGTATATGTTGAGGTGGTGTATCGTTAGGCTAACACCCTCAGAGTATATGTTGAGGTGGTGTATCGTTAGGCTCCCACTTTCAGAGTATATGTTGAGGTGGTGTATCGTTAGGCTAACACCCTCAGAGTATATGTTGAGGTGGTGTATCGTTAGGCTAACACTTTCAGAGTATATGTTGAGGTGGTGTATCGTTAGGCTAACACTTTCAGAGTATATGTTGAGGTGGTGTATCGTTAGGCCCACACTTTCAGAGTATATGTTGAGGTGGTGTATCGTTAGGCCAACATGTTCAGAGTATATGTTGAGGTGGTGTATCGTTAGGCTAACACTTTCAGAGTATATGTTGAGGTGGTGTATCGTTAGGCTCTCACTTTCAGAGTATATGTTGAGGTGGTGTAACACACTTTCAGAGTATATGTTGAGGTGGTGTATCGTTAGGCTCCCACTTTCAGAGTATATGTTGAGGTGGTGTATCGTTAGGCTAACACTTTCAGAGTATATGTTGAGGTGGTGTATCGTTAGGCTAACACCCTCAGTATATGTTGAGGTGGTGTATCGTTAGGCTAACACTTCAGAGTATATGTTGAGGTGGTGTATCGTTAGGCTAACCTTTCAGAGTATATGTTGAGGTGGTGTATCGTTAGGCGTTCAGAGTATATGTTGAGGTGGTGTATCGTTAGGCTAACACTTTCAGAGTATATGTTGAGGTGGTGTATCGTTAGGCTCTCACTTTCAGAGTATATGTTGAGGTGGTGTATCGTTATATGTTGAGGTGGTGTATCGTTAACACTTTCAGAGTATATGTTGAGGTGGTGTATCGTTAGGCTAACACCTCAGAGTATATGTTGAGGTGGTGTATCGTTATATAACACTTTCAGAGTATATGTTGAGGTGGTGTATCGTTAGGCTCCCACTCTCAGAGTATATGTTGAGGTGGTGTATCGTTAGGCTAACACTTTCAGAGTATATGTTGAGGTGGTGTATCGTTAGGCTCTCTCACTTCTCAGAGTATATGTTGAGGTGGTGTATCGTTAGGCTAACACTTTCACAGTATATGTTCAGAGTATATGTTGTATATGTTGAGGTGGTGTATCGTTGTATCACCCTCAGAGTATATGTTGAGGTGGTGTATCGTTAGGGCCCACACTTTCAGAGTATATGTTGAGGTGGTGTATCCCCACTTTCAGAGTATATGTTGAGGTGGTGTATCGTTAGGCCCCCACTTTCAGAGTATATGTTGAGGTGGTGTATCGTTAGGCTAACACCCTCAGAGTATATGTTGAGGTGGTGTATCGTTAGGCTCTCACTTTCAGAGTATATGTTGAGGTGGTGTATCGTTAGGCTAACACCCTCAGAGTATATGTTGAGGTGGTGTATCGTTAGGCCCACACTTTCAGAGTATATGTTGAGGTGGTGTATCGTTAGGCTAACACCCTCAGAGTATATGTTGAGGTGGTGTATCG